CCAACAGGTCAGTGTGTATCCTAAACCCCACACCAACAGGTCAGTGTCTATCCTAAACCCCACACCAACAGGTCAGTGTCTATCCTAAACCCCACACCAACAGGTCAGTGTCTATCCTAAACTCCACGGAGACATGCTTGAGGAGAGATCAGCAGAAATAACGTGTGAGAGAACTGCTTACATTACAGGGAGAGATGATCAGACCAGTGCATTCCCTGGATATTAAAATGTTCTTGTCTGACCTGGTCAGCCTTCACTCTATTGAGTGGTGCAGAGAGAGTAGGTCGAGAAAACTTGTTGCAGAGACTCGGACGAGGTAACATAGTTTAAATATGAGAGCGTGACCTCTCAGAAAGGAAATTGGGAAATATTTCTGCCGATGACAAACACCATTTAATGCTTCATCAACTGTTCATTTGAAGCCTGATGTTGGTAGATTTTGGAAAACAATACTATGGAAGGATATGAAGCCAAGTGGCAGATTAATTTAGCTCACCCATCAGCCATGAACTCATTGAGTGTGTTCAGTACTCCTTGTGACCAGAACCCTTCTTGTTCATGTAGTCATCCTGATGCCTTTTAAATGTTGCCATTGTACCAGCCTCCACTACCACCTCTGGCAGCTTTTTCCATACACGCACCACCCACTGCGTGAAAAAGTTACCCCTCAGGTCCTTATTAAATCTTTCCCCTCTCACCTTAAACCTATTCCCTCTAGACTTGGACTCCCCCAGCCTAGGACTATGGCTATTTACCCTATCCATGTCCCTCATGATTTTATACACCTCCAGAACCTATTCAGCCTCTCCTTTTAACTCAATAACTTCAGCCCTGGCAACATACTTATAAATCTTTTCCTCTCAAATTTAACAACGTTTTTTCTATCGAATGGCAACCAGAATTGTACACAGTATTCTAAAAGTGGCCTTATCAATGTCCTGTACAACTATAACATGACCCTCCCAACTCCTATATTCAATGCTCTGACCAATGTATTCAATGCTCTGACCAATGAAGGCAAGCATTCCAAATGTCTCCTTCACTATCCTGTCTACTTGCGACTCCACTTTCAAGGAACTCTGCACCTGCACTCTAAGGTCTCTTTGTTCAGCAACACTCCCCAGGACGTTATCATTAACTGTATAAGTCCAAACTCCATCTGCCATTCCTCAGCCCATTGGCCCATCTGATCAAGGTCCTGTTGTGCTCTGAGATAATCTTCTTCACTGTCCACCTATTTTGGTGCCATCTGCAAATTTACGAACCATACCATGTATATTCACATCCAAATCATTTATATAAATGACGAAAAGCAATGGACCCAGCACTGATCCTTTGGTCCATCATTGGTGCACCATTGGTCACAGGCCTCCAGTCTGAAAAGCAGCCCTCCCTCACCACTACTCTCCGTCATCTACCTTCAAGCCAAAATTTGTATCCAATTGGCTAGCTACACCTATAATCCATTTGATCTAACCTTACTAACCAGTCTACCATATGGAACCTTGTTGAGCACTTTGCTGAAGTCTGTATAGATATTGTCCACCCCTCTGCCTTCTGTAATTTTCTTCATCACCTCTTCAAAAAACTCCATCAAGTTAGTGAGACACGATTTCTCACACACAAAGCCATGTTGACTATCCCTAATGAGTCCTTGCCTTTCCAAAGACATGTAAATCCTGTCCCTCAGAATCAACTTGCCCACCACCGATGTCAGGCTCACCGGTCAATAATTCCCTGGCTTTTCCTTACAGCCTTTCTGAAATAATAGGACTACATTAGTCAACCTCCAGTCTTCAGACACCTCACCCATGGCTGTTGATGATAGAAAAATCTCAGCAAGGGGCCCTGCAATCTCTTGCCTAGCTTCCTACAAAGTTCTGGGAAACATCCGATCAGGTCCCAGGAATAATCTACCTTTATGCATCTTAAAACGTCCAGCACCTTTTTGCTTGTAATATGAACTCTTCAAGACATCACTATTTATTTCCCCAAGTTCCCTCGCTTCCATTTCCTTCTCCACAGTAAATATTGACATGAAGTACGTGTTTAGTATCTCGCCCATCTCCTGTGGTTCCACACATAGATGGCCACGTTGATCTTTAAGGTGCCCCATTCTCTCCCTAGTTACTGTTTTATCCTCAGTGTATTTATAGAGTCTCTTGGATTCTCCATAACTCTATGTACCAAAGCTATCTCAAATCCCCTTTTTGCCCTCCTGATTTCCCTCAGCTGCAACATGACTTGCCAATTTTTATACTCATTGCTTTGATCGATGAAGGCAAGCATGTCATATGCACTCTTGACTACTTTATCCACTTGTGTTGCCACTTTCAGGGAACTACCTCTTGATCCCTCTGAATGTTGATGCTACTAAGAGTTCTACCATTTACTGTATAGTTCCCTTCTGCATTAGATTTTCCAAAATGCATCACCTTGCTTTTGTCTGGATTAAACTCCATGTGCCATTTCTCCGCCCAAGTCTCTAGACTATCTATACCCTGCTTCATCCTCTGTCCCTCCTCTTCAGTATCTGCAGGTCCCACAGTCTTTGTGTCATCTGCAAACATGTATATATTACAAACAACAGGGATCCCATCAGTAATCCCTGAGGAACACCAGTGGTCACAGATCTCCAATCTGAAAAACACCCTTCCACCACTACTCTGTGTCTTCTAAACCAATTCGGTCTCCATCTTATGGATCCTGTCTTGCATCAGCCTCTGTGAGGGGCCTTATCAAAGGCCTTGCAAAAGTCCATATAAACGATATGTTCATCATGCTGACCTCCCCAATCAGCCTTCTCACTTCCTCAAAAAATCTCAATCAAGTTTGTGAGACACAACTTCTCCCACACAAAACTGTTCTTCCTGTCACTATTAAGTCCATATTTTTCCAAATGTGAATAAATCCTATCCCTAAGAATCTTCTTCAACAATTGCCTACCACCGACGTACGCCTCACTGGAGTGGAATTTCCTGAATTATCCCTGTTGCCCTCCTTAAGCAAAAGAACAACGTTAGCTATCCTGCAGTCCTCTGGGACCTCACCTGTGACTACAGAGGATACCAAGATTTCGAACAAGGCCCCAGAAATCTTCTCACCTTCCTCTGTCAACATTCTGGGATAGATTCTGTCAGGCCCTGGGGTTTTGTATACCTTAATGCTTTTCAAGCACCAAACACCTTTTTTATACTGACATGCTCCATAATATCAACACATCCATCCCGAGTCTCACTGTCCACCATGTCCTTCTCCCTTGTGAATACTGATGTAAAGTATTCATTAAGGACCACATCCACTTCCTCCAGCTCCACACATAAATTCCCTCCTTCCTCCTTGAGTTGACCTCAAGCCTGTTTGCCAACAACATGTCATGGCTCCTTTTAGCCCTCCTTGTTTGAGGTCTTTCCTACTGTCTTTGTATTCTTCAAGGGCTCTGTCTGTCTGTCTGTCTAACTAAGGGATATGGAGACCAGATCTACATATAGTGCTCCAAGGTCTAATGGAGAGATATAACGCTCCATGTTTGTTCAACCAAGGTTCAGTTCTAGTTCATCATAACCTTTCTGGTTTTCAACTCATTTGTGTAGAGATGCTCCCTAGTTCCTGACTTGCTCCTTGCTTTGCTCTGGGTTACCTGTGTAACTGTTTGTAGTGATCTGTAACCCTGCAATGAACAACTCCCCACCTGGTGATCCCTCTGCCCTTGTTCCCCATTTCAGCTTTTTATTCCCTTCGCAATCTAACAGCTGTTCATTTCTGCGACATACCTCCTATCTGCTGCATTCAGCGATTTGAAATGTGTTTGGTAACTGTTTTGTTCTGTTGCTTGACTTGCAGGTTCTTCGTCTTTGGAAAATGGAAACATTATTTTGATCATCGTTATCTCCATCATCTTATTCTGTTTGCTTGTTATACTTGCTATTGTTATCTACTGGAAGTTACTTCACAAGTTAGGAAGTGGAAACATGGAAGGTAATTAGTAAATCTTCATCTCAAATAAATGGTCACAGGACATTCAAGTCTGTCATTGTCTCCAGTCAGTGACCCACAATGTCATATTCGCATAAAACTTCATGCTATTAACATGCGGGTCTTCAGACTGCACTTGGCATCATTTACTCACTCACTGATCTCTGTCTCTCTCTCTTTCTCATTTCAGAAAGTATGGTGTTTGATCACCATCTCACACGAGTCCCCACAGTCCCCAACAACTACGTGAGTAATCACCTGGTCGTTTACAATTCTCCTGCCCACACTAAGACACAGCAAGATCCCGTACTCTGCTGCTGGGGTGGCTAATGATCATACCCAGCGTTGAGAAAATGATTTAATTGTGTCCTGAGTCAACTCAGAGTTCTTCCTGTTTAAAGTCCGGATATTATTCTAGTTTCTGGAGCAGTTGGGACTTGAACCCAGGCTGACTTGGCTCAGAAGTTGGCACACTAACCTCTGCATCGCAAGAACCCTCTGTTTCAAGTCTACTGCTATCAATCTGCCCACGGCCAATAATTAGCTAAATTAGAAAGAATTCCCTTGATGAATGCAGTAGTGGTGTCCCTATCTCTGAGCCAGGAGGCTGGGTTCAAGCCCCACCTGCTCCAGAAGTGTATCTAACATCCCCCAAACTGATTGATTAGAAAATGTCTCAAAGTGAACATTTAATGTGCAACTGCAATTCATTTCAGTTGTTCTCCATCCAACGTGTCCCGGGGCAGCACGGTGGCTCAGTGGTTAGCACTGCTGTCTCACAGTGCCGGGGACCTGGGTTCGATTCCACCCTTGGGCGACTGTCTGTGTGGGAGTTTGCACATTCTCCCTGTGTCTGTGTGGGTTTCCTCTGGGAGCTCCGGTTTCCTCCCACAGTCCAAAGGTGTGCAGGTTAGGGTGAGTTGGCCATGCTAAATTGTCCCATAGTGCCCAGGGATGTGCAGGTTAGGGTGGGTTGGCCATGCTAAATTGTCCCATAGTGCCCAGGGATGTGCAGGTTAGGGTGGGTTGGCCGTGCTAAATTGTCCCATAGTGCCCAGGGATGTGCAGGTTAGGGTGGGTCTGGGTGGATGATCTTCAGAGGGACAGCATGGACTCGATGGGCCAAATGGCCTTCTTCCATGCTGTAGAGACTCAATGTCTCACTTGGATTGCGCCTCAATAAATTGCAATAGAACATAGAACAGTACAGCACAGGAACAGGCCCTTCGACCCACAATGTTATGCCGACCATGATGCCAGATTAAACTAATACTTTCTGCCTGCCCTTGGCCCATATCCCTCCGTGCCTTGCATATGTATGTACTTGTCTAAAAGCCCCTTAAACGCCCCTATCATATCTGCTCCCACTACCACTGCTGGCTGCATGTTCCAGACTCCTACCACTTTCTGTATAAAAAAAACTTACCCTCACATACCTTTTGAACTTCCCCCCTCTCACTTTAAATGCATGCCCCTAGTATTAGACATTTCTGAGAGTCCTAGTTCAGGATTCTCTTAGGCTTAACATGCAGGTTAATTTGGCAGTTAGGAAGGCAAATGCAATGTTAGTGTTCATTTCACATGGGCTAGAATACAAAAGCAGAGATGAACTGCTGAGACTACATAAGGCTCTGGTCAGACCGCATCTGGAATATTGTGAGCAGTTTTGGGTCCCGTATCTAAGGAAGGATGTGCTGGTGTTGGAGGGGGTCCAGAGAAGATTTGTAAGAATGATCCCGGAACGAAGGGCTTGTTGTATGATGGAGGGTTGAGGACTCTGGGTGTAAACTCGATGGAGTTTAGAAGATGAGAGGGCAATCTGATTGAAACTTACAAAATACTGAGAGGCCTGGATAGAGTGGACGTGGAGAAGATGTTTCCACTAGTAGGAGAGACTAGGACCTGAGGGCACAGCCTCAGAGTGAAGGGATAACGGTGAGATTTGGAGGAATTTCTTCATCCAGAGGGTGGTGAATCTGTGCAACTCATTGCCACAGAAGGCTGTGGAGGGCAAGTCATTGAGTGTATTTAAGACAGTTAGTTAGGTTCTCAATTGATAAGGGGATCAACAGTTACAGGGAGAAGGCAGGACGATGGGCTTGAGAAATATATCAGCCACGATTGAATGATGGTGCAGACTTGATGAGCTGAAAGGCCTGATTCTGATCCTGTGCCATTTGATCTCTGCATACTGAGATTCAACCTGTGGTCATGTACCATCAGGGGAGTTGAATTCTTGCTGTGGGCTGATACAGACCCCAGGAAAAGTTCATGCTGCCACTCTGTGTCCCCTCAGACTGGGCCCACTACTGGGACGTGTGTTGAATTTTCTGCTGATGCAGCCTTGCACCAGTCTCTCTCTCTCTCTCTCTCTTTAGTTGCGAATATTTATGTTTTCCCATTAACAGTGCTTAGGTTGCAGCCTGTTCCTTCAGATGCTTGCTGTTGGTGCATTCTCTGAGTTCTTGCTGCTTCCCCATCTCTTTCAATTTTCATAACACTTTCCCTACCCAAGGTCAATTGATTTCTTCCTGTTGCTAACCCTGTACACTGCTATAACCCTTCAGGGTAAGTGCAGGTTTTTCCATTCCACAGTTCAGTGCCTAGCTGTAGCTGAGTTTTCCCTTTGGGCATTTTCCCTGACCTCTGGGTATGGATTGAAGGGCTGAGCAGAGGTTTACCATCTTCAGGCTCTTACCTCCTGACTGTGGTTCTGTGCATCTCCCCACCACTGTGTAGCATTGTGAGGCCTACACTCTTGTGAGTGAACAGGAACGGACTTTATTCAACATAATGATGCACAGAGGAAGGTAGTGTTTGGGGTGAGCTGCAGGAAGGCGGTTGATGTCAGATTGTCCTGAACTTTGACAGATTTTCCACCTCTAACGTGGTTATGGCAGAGGGAGTGAAGTGGGGCATTACAGAGGCACCAGTAGATCACCGTAGCCCGAGGCAAGAAGTTCAGCTCCGAGTCAGAAATAGGATGGAGGCGGTCACAGCCACAAATAGTGTTTTTGACCTCCCATTCTTCGAAATTTGCAGGAAAACAACACCAGTCCAGAGTCACCTTGCACAGTTTACGCGGTGGTGCAGCGCACGGACAGAACGTGAAAGGCAGAAGCAGAGTTAAATCCAGCAGGACAGCAAAGACCACTGCTGCCTTGGCACTGCAAAGAGGGGCTGGACAGTCGAAGGGAAACATTCCCCTCTCACCGTGGTCAAGACCAAACCTGGGCCCATGTCTCAGCTCATACTTTGTGCTTCTCACACAGTTTATCTCCATTGGTTCAACCTAATATCCTTTTTATGATCCATGCTGCTGAAAAATGTATTTATAGTACATCACATCAGATCATACACATACTCACACGCACACACGCTCTCACACACACTCACACTCTCACATTCTCACATACGCACACACACACACTCTCTCTCACATATGCACACACATGCATACACACACACTGTCACATACGCACACTCACACACACACATACACACACTGACACACACACTCACACAAACACACACATACATACATACACGCACAATCTCACATACGCACACACACATACGTACACACACTCATACGCACACACACTCTCTCTGACACAAACACACACGCACTCACATGTACACACACTCACAGACACACATACACACTCAGACACATACAGACACACACACACTCTCTCTCACACACATACTCACACGTACACACACTTACATACACACTCATAGACATACAGACTCACACACACACTCAGAAACACACTCTCACAGACACATACACTCATACGCACACACTCAGACACACACACTCACATGTATACACACACGCACACACTTTCACACACACTCACATTTACACACACTCACAGACATACATACACACTCACAGACACATTTACACTCACAGAAAAACACTCTCACAGAGACATACAGAGACACACACTCAGACAAATTCTCAAGACACACACACCCACATGCATGCGCATGCACACACAAGCAGCACACACCCATACATGCAGACACACACATACATGAGGTTTCGAATGCCCACCCGACCTCCTGCACTGTTAGAGGCACAGCGAGGTTGGATTGGTACCAGGTATTGATATTTCTCAGGGTAGGGTGAAGAGGAACATCAGCCCCTAGACTGGCAACTGGACTCATCCTGCTGTTCTGCAGTAGGAGAGGGGCACATTTCATGTGAGCTTGAAAAAGGACAGCTGTCCCGTCATCCACTTCACAGTGTGTCTTTCAGAGCGTCCTAATACAGGCAGCGAATGTGTGCAGAGCAAGATCCCACCGTGCAATGTGATCGTAGCTGTGAATCTGTAAGGACAGCTGTCCAGTGAGACAGAGAGAGAATACCACTGTTTAACATCTCGCTGTAATCGGACACAGGGATTCTACAACTCGCCAAGTTGCAGCCAAACTACCACGAGCGCTATGGGAATGCCACAGGGACCTACCTGGGCTCAGAACAACATTCGTCCAGGACACAGCAAAAGTCATTGACGCCTGATTGGGAGAATATCAGTTCGGAACAGACCAGAACAAATGATTGAAATCTCAGGTACGAGAGGAGCTGTTACCAGATTGCAAACACCACTGTGAAACATGACCTTAGTTTTCGCAGGTCATGGAGTAAAAGGCCACCTTGGATTGCCAGCTAAAGCTGATTGAAACAAAGGAGAAGCTGCCAGGGCATCTTGAACCATCCACCCAGAACTCCTGCAAGACAGAGAAATGACAGAACAGCAAGCAATCGACTGTGATGTAACTGGGCAGCTGAAGGATAACCGCCTGCTGAACCAGGAGTCAGGAATCTTCCCTAAAACCAAAGGCCGGAAATCTAAAACAGGAACAGAAATCGCTGGAGAAACACAGCAGGTCTGGGCAGCTTTCATGGGGAGAGAGAGAGAAACAGATTCCCAGAACGATTCTGAAGAAGAGCCGCTAGACCTGAAAAGTTGACTCTGCTTTCTCTCTCTCTCCCTGCTGCCGGACCTGCTGAGTTTCTCCAGTGATTTCTGTTTTAGTAGGAGGAGTCTTCTCGGTCTCTCCCAATCTCAGCTACACGGGTCTGCCTGTCCAAAATACCAGCTATTTGCTACAGCAACAGGGAACCCAAACACTGGGCCTCAACAGAGCACCGTAGGTACTCATTGGGACTTCCTCAAATATATTACTTAGTCTTAATCTTGTTTCGGTTTTGTCATCTGTAAATTCTTTTAATAATGTAATCGCTTTATCTCCAATGAATATTGACTAAAAACCTGTTGGAACTAAAGCTCGGCTGTTGTTCAGTTTTAACTGGTATCAAACACGTGAAACAAAGGAACATGTGACGATAATCTACAGCACACACACACTCTCACACACACTCTCACACACACACAC